GGAATTGCTCTGGAGTTCCCAGAGGGCACCTGTGGGGTTGGTAGCAAAATGCGGTACAAGGAAAAGAAAGCGGGGGTGACCACAAGGTGGCACCAGATCCTCATCTTAGAAGCAGCCAGGAGGCGTTTTCTAGCCAGAGTCATCCAGAGAGCCATGCGGCCAGACAGGATCTTGAGAGGTCAAGGTGCAGGTGCCTTTATCCAACCTCACTCAGCACCTTCCTTCAGCTCTTGGGACCCTCTTTCTTCTGTGGTTCGTGTCAGAATTCAGAGGCTACATTTGTGTGAGGTCAGTGCCGTGGTCCCTTGGAGTAGGATTTTTCTCCCTGAACAGGGGCCCAGAGAAGGGTGACTGGGTCCCAGAGAGGGGCAGTGACTTGCCCAAGGTCACACAGCCTTTTGGTAGAAAGGAAAGTCCTTTAAGCTTCATCCTTTAGGCCTGTTCTGTTACCTTAATGACTTTGTCCTGTAAGTTTGGCTGTCGTTTTATTATTTATTTGTTTATTTTATTTACTTTTTCTTATATGTGTGTGGGGGGGTGTCTTTGTGCGTGAACCTCGACCTGGTTTGAAACTGGCTGAGAAAACTTGGCTGAAAATAAATTACTCATGCCAGCTTAAAACATGTCTGAGAGTGCTTGGAGAAGGCTTACATTAACGCAGGCCGAGTAGACTGAGAAAATGCAGCTTCTCTCTGGCCTCTTCGGAAGGCTTTTATGGATTTCCACCAAAGGTACATATGCAAAAGAACCGAAAGTCCCCAGGAAGATTGGATGGAGAGAGAGGCTGGGTAAATGGCAGGCGGTTTAGAAATGGGGAGGAAGAAGTTAGTTCTATCCCCGCAGTGGTAAGTAAACCAGGTTCCCTAATCTAATTACATATCAAAGTTCAAGGAGTTTAATCCCTCCCATCTGTTGACTCTGGAATGCATAGGCCTACTCCAGCCTGTCCACGTGCCTCTGGGTTCTTTTCTGGTGTCTCTAGGTTTTTTCCATCTTCCATGGTTTTTTTTTTTTTTTGAGACAGAGTTGTAAGCTGTCACCCTGGGTAGAGTGCCTTGACATCATAGCTCACAGCAACCTCCAGGAACTTCCAATTCTTGAGCTCAAGCCACCGTCTTTTAGTAGAGACGCGGGGGAGGGGTCTTGCCTTTGCTCAGGCTGGTCTCCAACTCATGAGCTCAAGCAATCCACCTGCCTCAGCCTCCCAGAGTGCAGGATTACAGGCATGAGCCATAGTGCCCGGCCTTCTTCTGTGGTTTGCATGAAACTCCAGGGATTGTCTGTCTGTCAGCTTTCCCCTGGATATCCCAGGATTGAGTCAGGGCGCCCCATTGACAAGTCAACCTATCTACCTCCCACACGTTGATTCATTTTAACACTTAACCATCACTGAGCATGTGTCAAGTACTGTGCTGGGCGGGAGGAGGGCCACGGGCCCATCCTTATGAGCAATGTAGCAAGAGCAGCTATACACACACACACACACACACACACACACACACACCCCTTTATATAAGGAGACCACTTGGCGGGTCTTTATAGCCACCTGGGAGGCAGATGCTGTAATTATTTCTGCTACACCCCATGGAGTGGCTGAATTTTTCATCTTTATAGAGTCAGTCTGCCCAGATTTAAATCTCAGCCCTTCCACTTGCTGGTTTGTGAGAACTTGGGCAAGTCATCTTACTTGAGTCTCAATTTTCTTCTCTGTGAAATAAGGGCTAATCAAGGCACCTAATTCCTAGGTTGTCATGAGGTTTAAACAAGACAGTGCACAGAAAGGGCCAGCACATAGGAAGTGCTGGATTCACCTGTGCCTTTTTTTTTTTTTTTTTTGAGACAGTCTCAAGCTGTTGCCCTGGGTAGAGTGATGGGGTGTCACTGCTCACAGCAACCTCAAACTCTTGGGTTTAAGAGATCCTTTTGCCTCAGCCTCCCAACTAGCTGGGACTACAAGCGCCTGCCACAACGCCTGGTTATTTTTTGGTTATAGTTGTTGTTGTTTGGCAGCCCGGGCTGGATTCGAACCCACCAGCTCTGGTGTATGTGGCTGGTGCCTTAGTTGCTGAGCTACAGGTGCTGAGCCCAAGCCTATGCTTTTAATGGTTTTGACTCTGGTGGCCAGTGTGACAGCAAAGGCATCAGATAAACACAGAGAGGGAGTGAACAAGCTGCTTAGTGTGGATTCCCCTGGAAACACACCAAGACAGAAATTCAGCTTGAGTTGTTCATTTGAGAGCAGCTCCAGGCAACACTGGTAGTGGAGTGAGGGATCCAGACAGCAGAGGCTGGGGAGGGGGTCAATGAAGAGTTCAGTATCAGGCATTTACTGCCATGGGTAACGGGGGGCTTGATCCCAATGGGATGCTCCGGGGGTTTGTGGAGCACAAACCTCAGAGTTATCCCAGAGCGGGAGGTGGAGTCATGGTGCCAGGGCTGTGCCTGCTGGGGGTGGGGAATTCATAGAACTCACTGTCCATTGCCTACAGGTGGAGAAAGCCTTCCTGCAAAAAAAAAAAAAAAAAAAAAAGGCAGATGCTGTTGGGATTCATGCCCACCCTCTGCTTCATCGGAGGAGGAAAGGTTAATTCTAAAGCAAGAAGGGAAGGCTTCCTGGAAGAGGTGGCCTTTGAGCTCCCCTTTGAAGGATGGGCAGGAGTTTGACAAGCAGAGGTGGAGGATGGACATTCCTGGCGGGAGGTAGAGCACAGCCAAGCAAAGGAAGTGTGGAAGCTTGAATGGGGGTGGGTGTAGGGTAAATGGGGGGCAGATGTTTTGGGGACAAGGTCAAGTGAGGTCTGGGGTTAAGATACGGAGGCCAGAGAGAGTTCTGCCTGGATGTTGTGGGTAGGAGGAACCCGTGGGATGGAGGTTCCCTCTCCCTGACTGCTGTGAGGCTGGGTGGAAGGGACTGAGAGCAGGTATAAGGCTGTGCTTCAGGTGACAGGTGATGAGGACCCAGGTGAGTCAGGGGGACTTACCTTTGAGAGAGAGAAACTGAAAGTTAAAGAACTTTCTGGGGTAGGTCCCAGAGATCTTGGAGTTAGAGCCTTCTGTCCTTACCCCGATGCCTCGGGGAAGCATCTCTCTAAGTGCTGTGTGGCTGTGCCATATGCAGTTTTCAGCAGAAGATGCCACTTACAAAGGAACCTGAAACAGCCTCTTAGCACTCAGAGGAAGAAGCAGGCTAACTAGGAGTCCAATCTTCCATTCCTTGGCAGGGCAGGGAACTTGGGTTCTAGTAGGATATAGTCAAGAACCATGGAGTTGGACAGGCCTGGATCTGAATCCTGGTGCTACCATTGCTTTTCTGTGCCTTGATTTTCCCATCTATAAAATGGGAGTGATGAAACTATCTTTTTCACGGGATTGTTATAAGAATGAAATGAGATAAAACATGTGAAGCCCTTGGCACATAGTAGGTGCTTGGAAGATGGTAGCTGGGGGCTGAAGAGAGGGGAATGAAAAGTTGTTGTTTAATGGGTATAGAATTTTAGTTTTGCAAGATGAAAATAATTCTATGATGTGAATGTAATTAGTATCACTGAACACTTAAAAATGGTTAAAGTGGTAAATTGTATGGTGTATTTTACCATGATTAAGAATACAAGAGTTTAGAAAAATGTCTTTTTAAGTATAAAAACTTTAAACATTATTTTAACGTTTTTAAAGTTAAAAACTAAATGACCTAATTTAATTAAATTTGAAAATAAATATAATTGAAAAGCTGTTGACACTCCTTCAAACACTTTAAAGGCCCAGGAGTGGGAAACCTTTTGGTGTTGGAAAGCCATCTTAATTTAGCTATCATCAAATAAGACTGCATTCACGAAATTTCAATTAGAGGTACATAAAAATGACATTATTTTTTAAAACTATAACAACTGTATACTTAGTACTTTCAAGAAATGAAAACTATTTGTTAATTTTAAAGTTCACAGATCTTTTAATGAGTTCGTTGTGCCTGTTGCTTGTGGGAAAACATTGGAATATTTGGTTGCGGCACGGAGGTCCACAGTTTCAGCTGGTCCTCTAGATGGGTAGAGGACCCAGTCATGTGTGACCTTAAGGGTGTCCTGACTTGGGTTAGGCAGGAGAATGAGAGTCACAGAAATGAGTGCTTGAAATGAAAGAAACATTTGTAGAGCATGTCGCTGAAGGTGTGGCCGTTTTATTGCCTTTTTCCACATTTGGGGAAAATGTTCGTCTGAAATTTCCTTTTGAAGAAGTATTTGGAAAAAGATAGCTGTTTAATGCTTGCATTTTTCTTTTTGCCACATATCCTATAATCTATAGACTTAGTTTTGCCTTGCAAAGAAATACTCAGGTTGGTGCCTGTGGCTCAAGTGGCTAAGGCGCCAGCCACGTACACCTAAGGTGGCGGGTTCGAATCCAGCCCAGGCCCGCCAAAACAATGACGGCTGCGACCAAAAAATAGCCAGGCATTGTGGCGGGCACCTGTGGTCCCAGCTACTTGGGAGGCTGAGGCAAGAGACTCACTTGAGCCCAGGAGTTGGAGGTTGCTGTGAGCTGTGATGCCACAGCCCTCTACCCAGGGGGACAGCTTGAGGCTCTGTCTCAAAAAAAAAAAAAGACAAAGAAATACTCAAATCATTTTGATTTGACGTGCTATCGTACAGAAATGCTGCATTCCTGTAGAAATCTTTCAATAATTCACATTGCTGATTCTGTTCTTCATAAAACTTAACGATCTGTTCTCTAGGGGATAACATTTTGGCCAACGCCTGTCCCTGTGATAGCACACTTTACAATGATATGCATATTGACACTGAATATCTCATCTTTCAACTTTAGCATGTTATGAAACCGATAATGCTGTGTTGAATTTACATGAATATCATTATCAACACTTATAACTTGTTGCGAGGTGTCACTTAAAATAGTAGCTTTAGGCTCGATGCCTGTAGCTCAGTGAGTAGAGCACCAGCCACGTACACCAAGGCTGGTGGGTTCAAGCCTGGCCTGGGCCTGCTAAACAACAATGACAACTAGAACCAAAAAATAGCTGGGCATTGTGGCCGGTGCCTGTAGTCCCAGCTACTTGGGAGGCTGAGGCAAGAGAATCACTTGAGCTCAAGAGTTTGAGGTTGCTGTGAGCTGTGATGCCACAGTACTCAATTGAGGGCAACATAGTGAGACTGTCTCAAAAAAAAAATAGTAGCTTTAGCAAAGAGATTTTTGCAGATGCAAAATGCAATGAAAAGACATGAGAGTGTCTGGATCTGTTGATACTTTTTAATATTTATGCAATGAACCCTTCATGTTTT